GCGTCACTTGGTGCGGCGCCCCATACGGCGCAGTAGTGGACCTTATCAGAGGCTCGATTCTTTTGTCAGAGAGCCATTTGTCCTGGCGCGGTGCCGCACGTGGCATGCTAGACCAACTTTTACAGAGTCCGCCTTGTTTTCGATATTTAGCTCACGGGTTGCACCCAGAGTCTATTATGTACTTATTTATGTCCAATTCATGCTTATACCTGCCCAAACAAGTCTCCTAAACCCTAATAATTCTAAACTATAATTATCTAAACTATTCTTACAAAAACAAGAAAAAGGGTTAAAAGCATTAAAAGTTGGGTTGCCTCCCAACAATCGCCTGATTTAACGTCGCGACACGACTCAACATGTTTTCAAGCTTCGGCCAAGTCCACCGAGGTCTTGTGACGTGTAATGTCACCACCCCAATAATATTTTACTCTCTGCCGATTTACCAAGAAGGTACCACTCTGTTCTTCTTCTACTTGTACGTTCTTTGCCTCCAAAGATATGTAACCCCCATACAAAAGACGTCTCGTAGGGTATTCATGTGACCTAGGGTGGTTAGGAGTAGGGGTGGCAAATGGGCTGGTTGGGCTGAATTTGGGCGGGTCAAGATGGGTTAGGTCAATAAATGGGTCATTGCCCAACCCAACCCAAAGTGTACTTGGGTTAAGATGGGCTAAACAATGGGTCATAACCCAACCCGCCCAACTTGACCCATGTTTTAGAACCATGCCTATCTTGCATAAAAAATTTTTTTACCTTAAAATATGTAAGTTAAAAAATATTTTACATGTGGGGGTGGGGATAGGGGTGGGTGAGCGGGGCAGAAAAACACATAAAACAAAATATTAAAATTATAAGAAAAAGTTAAAAAAAAAATTGAGGGGGTTTGCGGGTTGGAGGGGGATAGGGGGTAGGGGTAGCGCAGAAAAATAAAAAAACAGAAAATTGAGAGTATAAGAAAAAGTAAAATTATTTGTTTGGGGGGGGGGGGGGGAGGGGGGTGGCGCAGAAAAATAAAAGAACAGAAAATTAAAAAGACAAAAAAAAGAAAAAAAGAAATTGGGGCAACTAAGTAAATTTCTAGATAAGTTGAGTTGAGATCATTTATTTTGGGTGAGTTTCGTGAGTTGTATTTGGGCTGTTAAATGGGTCAAAATGGGTTATAAAAAATAACGTGTTAACTTGCGCTCAGCCCAAATCGATCCATAAGCTAAAATATTTGTAGCCCAACACATTAATCTCTGGGCAGTCCAAGTCAATCTCATCTCATACATGAATAATTATCGTATTCGGCCCTCGTGAGATGCGCACCATGCAGACGAGCTCCCAGTTGTTCTTTTCCTTTCTTTTGTCGCGTTGGCTCGCGTGATGGTGCTTGGTTCATTGTCTTGAGTAAAGGATGACCCCCAGCTCGTTCGCCTCTTCCTCGAGCCATGGACCTCGGACGAGCTGCCTTTAATTTTTTGTCCTTGTTTTTTCGCATCTCGTTCTGCTCTAAATCACTTTCTTTTGATCAGCTTTTATCTAAACGCTTTTATCTAAATTTGTACCTACGTATAGAAAACACGTAATGAGCATATGTTTATTCGATAACCATGCAATTTTTATCAAATCATACCATACCTAGGACATAAACACAATAAAAATGTGCACTTTTTGCCAATTATCATCAAATTAATTCCAATCCACACGTTAGGAGGGCTATTCATACTTTCAAATATTATGTAAGCCAAACGACTATTGACACATCTAAGATTATTTTACCTTTTAGATGTTAAAGTTTACTTTTTTACTAAAAGTACTCAATAATATTTTAAAGAAAATTTATAATTTTATTATTGTTAAAAAATGGGGTTCCCCAAATTCTGGGGCCTAAAGCATGTGTCTTACTTATTTCAACTGTTCACCATTGAGCCGGCCATGCTAGGTATATATTATTGGTTCGGCTTATGAATTTAAGTCTAACAACTGTATATTTATTTCTTGTTCCGGTACCTACATGCTTGGCAATCATATTATAGCTTTGTCTAAGTGAAACGTTTGTGTTTGTAACAACATAACCAAAGTAAACAAGCTAGCTGAATGTATATGATTATAAAAAAAACTGCGTACTGTGTCGGTCTATAAAAACTCTCTCTTAAAGCAACACTTTTATCCAATATGGGTACGTATAAAAAAAATTAAAAAATATCCAATGCTAGCGTTCAGCGTTCTGACTGAGATACGATGAGAGGACTTGGGTTTACAGAATTCCTACGTAAGTAATAGTACAATATACTCCATCCATTTCAATTTGTTTGTCCTAAACTCCTAATTTGATTTGGTATAAAGTTTATTAAAGAGCGGAAATTCTTTGGAAATTATAATGTTAAATATGTCATAACATTTGTATGGCTATAAAGCGTCTGAACTTGTGGTCTGAAACAAGTCATAATATTTAAGTGACTATATATACTTCCTATTAAAAAATATAGGAATGTGCTAATTATTTGGAATAGATTAATAAAAAAATGGTGAATCTTTTTTAAACAGAAGGAGTATATATTTATGTGTCGGTTAGTAATTCTTTATCGAGATCATTATCGAATTCATGGATGACAATGAAGTCTATCAATAAAAGAAAATTGTTACGGAGCTGTTTGTTGAGATCTAAAGAGAGAGTAAAGTGTGTTACGAAATGGTTGGAGGATGAATCTTGGACCATACATTTATTAAAATAAAAAAATAATAAAATAGCGAAGGACACCATGGGACTTTTCGCTATTTTCTTTTTGCATGTATGTGCACATTCATTTCCTTTTGAAGTAGCTATCGTACGTGGTGCTGAATTTTCATAAGATCTTATTTCAAATGTAAAATGCAATAGTACAAACATTTTGGTTCCTCCATCAATGTCCAACAAATCTTTGAAAAGGAAAAACAAATGCAACAGTTGACCCTATTATTTCAATAATTAAAAAGAGCCTGGAATTAGCAGGACATTGGCATGGTCTTGTATCACCTTCCAAGCCACGTCAACATGCATATAATCAGTAAGAGAAGCACCAATGGCAAATCGAATAATATAAATTCCTCCAACAACTCCATGAGTCAAATAGAGTTTTCCAGATGAATTAATCGACTCAACCAACTTAGTGTTGTACTTGTTCACTTGTTCCTCATCGAACGTTGTCGAAACTCGACTTATTACTGATGGAGAAATCCTAAAACACACCATAGCAAATTTTCTAGGCACAAATATTTCAAACCTTTTGTCCATAGCTATAAGCCCTTCAAAATGCTTAGCCATGTTCACATGACTTCTTATCAAATTTCTCAAATTAGTTACTCCATAATTTCTCAAAACTAGCCATAGTTTCAAAGCCCTAAATCTCCTGCTCAATGCAATTTGCCAGTCCTTATAATCAATCACTTGCTTTAACTCTGTGGCTTTGTTTCTTAAGCATTCAGGATTAGTCGATAACGCTTTTGTAAGTGCACTTGGATCCTTCACCCAAAGGCAGCAACAATCCAAAGTGGAAAAGAACCATTTATGTGCATTGAGACTGAAAGAGTTTGCATTTTCAATACCATCAAGGAAGTGTTGAAATTCAGGGCAAATGCAAGCGCTTCCCGCATACGCAGCATCCACATGCACCCAAATCCCATATTCCTTAGCAATTTCACAAAGCGAACGCAATGGGTCAACAGAAGTTGTTGAAGTTGTCCCAATTGTCGCGCACAGGAACAAGGGTATCATTCCTTCTTTAGTATCTTTCAAGATTGCTAAACGTAGCGATTTTGGACACAGGACATACTCATTAGCCTTTGTTGTTGGGATTACTCGAAAATTCTCGGGGTCTATCCCAGCTATATGGGCAGCCTTCTTGAGAGAAAAATGTGTCTGATCAGATGTATAGACCACCAACTTGCCAAAATTTTCTCTACCAATTTTCCTCAGCATTTGATCTCTAGCTGCCACTATAGTGCACAACATAGCTTCACAAGTTGTACCCTGTAGTACACCCCCACCACCTCCAGAGAATAAGAAAGAATTGGGAAGATTTAACATTTTCCCAAACCAATCCATCACAATGCTCTCAAGTTCAGTTGCAGCAGGGGATGAGATCCAATTGAACCCTACCACATTAAATCCAACACTAAGCATTTCGCCTAGGAATCCAGCAATACTTCCGGAAGAAGGAAAATAAGCAAAAAAATTAGGACTTTGCCAGTGAGTTATCCCTGGAATAATATCTCTTTTGACATCTTGAAGAATATTTTCAAGTGGTTCAGGATTATCAGGTGCAGAATTCGGTACAAGTTTTTGGAGATAGCCTGGATTGACTTGGCTACAAACTGGATATTTTTCAATGTTTTGATAGTAATCAGCAAGGAAGTTCACAATCATGTGACCTTGCTTTCTGAATTCTTCAGGATCTAAAGGGTTTATGGTGTTGAAAATTTGGTCATCAAGTTCAGGGTTGATATTGAGGGTACCCATTGTTTCAATTTGTGTTGTCGTGGCACAAAAGAAATGCTAGCTTGGTACGTTTTATAGGCTTAAAGAATTGAATTATGCCATACATTATTCCAGCTGCTTGATTAATGCGGATCCTTTTGTGGGCTATAGTAGGTTAGGCCTACAAATTAATTTAGACACTTAGTTACTTTCCACAAAATTCAAAACACTGGACCATCTAGCTCTTGAAGAAGGTGGTCTCAGTTGAGCTCGTAGTTTAACTTCCACCAACTAACTAATTAATTCACCTCCTAATTATGATGATGTTACCCTAGCTTTTCATGAAAAGTATTCCAGGAATTCTCTATCCAGAAAAGGAAAGCTAAAAACAGCAATTAGAGGTGATGAGTGCGTGACATAACCATGAACGAATTGGCAGGACAGGAGACAACTCATTTGAAAAATACTACTCTATCGGCTTCACTTTAATTGATGTTTTGATTGTTTTCCCACACATGCACCTTTTAACATTAATCAACAAATAAAATTGATCATATTAACCTTTATTATCTCTTTAATTTTTTCATTAGAGATATAACCGATACTTCGAGGCTCTTTACTCCAAAGGCAACTTTGAAAAAGAAGAAGTTATTTCCTTCTTGATATCTGAAAAATTAAATATTGTAGACCACAAAAAATCAATATATGGCAACAATATAAGTTGTTGGCGAATGACTTCTTTCTGCAGTGTCATTGCCATTATGCTGGAAGCTTTTCTAGTGTTAATAAAGGTGCAATTCAATAAACCACCCTTGAGCCGGTGTGACTCGCTAAGGACATAGCCAACAAGTGACGGGCAGACTTAGATGCTAAGGGTTTGTTTGGTTTAGATACAAGTTATGCATTAGTTAATAATGTATGTGTTAGCAATGCAAACACTGTTATATAGGAATTAAATTTTGCAAGAGTTAGTAATACAGGGATTATTACGTAGGAATTAAGTTATGTAAGGATTATAATATAGGGACTATTTCTTGTTGGGTGTTTAGTTTGATATATTACAAGTTAGTATATTCTATTTAATTAATTATATTTGCTTATTTCTTAGTAAAATAAAAGCTTGTTTACCATTACGAGGGTTAGTTTTGTTATTTTCATATTTTAATTCATGTATTATTTAATAAAAATTATTTTTATTCCACATTAGACCCCGCTTAAAATAATATAGAGATTTTGTTATTAAACTTATACAATATTATGTTCGAAGAATAGGAAAACACTAATCAAACATGTTATATTTGATGCTGAATTTGCACGAAAACAAATACTCCTTGAAATATCAACCAAACAACACTATAATGGTGTGCTAGTTTTAATACAACCTCATACAAAGATTAGTTCTCCCTATCTGCCAACAAAGTGACCCCTAAGTTTATGTTTAAAACCGTGAGTGTAAAAGGCTTTTCACTTGAAATTTCATCTATTTGCTTAGATAACACTTTATTTTGTATTTCTCAATTGTACTTCTGTATTCATGTCATTCTTTGCTGGTACCAATAATGATACTACCATTTAAGATAAAAAAAATTAATATTTACGACAAGGTATAATTGGAAGTTTGGGCATCAAGATGCTGTTAGATCCTTGTCACTTGAGGCCGCTGTCCTACTACCAATAATGTTTTTGGTGAAATCAATGCTATTAATAGCTTGTCCTTGTATAAGGCCAAGTGTCTGTGTTTTTGCCTTTCATACTCTGAAGTATCCCAATTATAATTCAAAAAGAAAAAATTAGCAGAAACATCGACAGATTAAAATGTATCACGCACAGCTCCTCGGTTTAAATTTGGACTCAAGGACCTTCAAATTAGGAGTAAAATCTCGAATTCATTCTTATTCCTTTCTATATATATATATATATTAAATTCTTAGAGGTGCGTCTGTATAGCTATAACAATATATGATTTGTACTAAGTTTTTGATATAGTTTACTCACTTTGTATTACTCTTGGATGACTGATTATGAGCATTTTGACCAAATAGGATCTAATGCAATGTGTTATTTTAACTTTAATTGTGGTTCTGCTTTATGTTAGCTAGATTCGAGTTGAATAAGTGCTTGTTTATATAACTAGGCAGGGAAAAAGAGCAAATGAAGACATATAATGTTGCGTTTCTAGAATTATCATCTTATATTACATAAAATAACATTCCACAAACAAGAAACCAATCGGCCAAGAACTAGATTCTTTAATTCAAGATTACACAAACAAGGCTCACGAGAATCAACTTTATTCTCTAATTTAATATGAAGATTTAAATGTGTATTCTTTCAACAATATAGGTAAAAATAAAACAACACTAAAACAAGAAAGACAAAAATTAATTTCAGAGGAAATATGAGAGGGAGAAAATTATCAAAGGGAATCTCTAGGGAAAATTGAAGAAGAAAGGTGAAAAAATGAAGAAGAAAGCCTAGAATATAAAGGAAATTGTAACGGTCCGCCCGTTTGTATTGAGTTTTAAGGTTCCGTTCAATAGTTCAAGGTCTTGAATGACTTCATATCGTGTATTATGACTTGTGTGCATGGTCGGATTTGAATTTCGGATGTTTCGGGATGAATTTGGATGAGTGATTCTCACTTTAGAAGTTTAAGTTAAAAATATTGAACGAGGTTTGACTTTTTTGAAAATGACCCCGTAACGGTGTTTTGATGACTCTGATAGGTTCGTACCATGATTTTTAACTTGGGCGTATGTCCAAAATCGATTTTGGAGGTCCATAGATTGATTTGTGTTGTTTTCCCTAAAGTTGGCAATTTAAAGTCTTAGATTTTTTATAAGTTTGACCGTATGTTGACTTCATAGCGATCGTGTTTGAATTTATGTTTTGGGACTTGGAATAGGTCTATTTCGTTATTTGGGACTTGTCCGTAAAGTTTGGCATCATTCCGAGTAGATTTGATAGGAATCGGATGTGCGGTTGTATTTTTAGAAGTTCTTGAGTTTCATGTTGATTTCATGTGTTTTGAAGGCCCGATTCATGATTTCAGATATGATTTTGATGATTGATAGTGTGAGCTAGTTCGTACTATATTTTTAGACTTGTGTTGATATTTGGTTTGGAGCCCCGTGGGCTCGGGTGAGTTTTGCACGCATTTCTGAGTGTCTGGGGAGAGTTTTAGTGTTGCTGGTGTGAACATGTTGTCACGCCCCAAACATGGGGAGTGTAACCGGCGCTCAAATAAATTAAACCAGTTGAGCCAGCCTACGTTACAACAACCTCTCACCATTACTCATGCATGATTTACCATAACATAGTTAGATCTTGACTTTTATATTAAATACATTTTGCCCAACGGCCAGAAGTTCTTCTCATGATGGACACATAACTTTATAAATATCTGTAACTACTATGAACATAAATACACGACAAAACTCAAAACTTAAGTACATGACCCACAGTGTACATGGAGCTTTTATGACAATAGATACCTAATTACATGAAATGAACTAGACTCAAATACCTACTAGAACTGTAGTGGACTTACCATAAGCTGAGTAGTGTTGGAAGATCCCTATCAAAGATCTCCATCATCCAGCATAAGTATACTTAAATCTATTAAAAGATGCAGCGCTCCTGACAAAAGGGACGTGAGTACATGTTAAATAGTACTCGTATGTAAGGCAGATAGAACACCATATGAAAATACGGTAACTCAAATAAGAGTCAAGTGAAGTACATCAAAAACTACAAAACGACCTATAGAGTCACATGTCAGGTCTTATTATACTTGCATCATTTCGAACTTCTTTTGGAATCAAGTGAGCCATATGAACTATGCGTGGGATACAAAATATAATGTAGATGTAACAACATGTACAAACAATGACAAGGAAAGTGGTACCTATTTTTTGTGTTGCCTATGCATCTCACCAGACCGTCCATAGCCCTATCTTATTATGCACCTATGTGTTTCACAGACCATCCATAGGATCTATCCATACTATGCACCTATACGTTTCATAGACCGTCCATAGGGTTCACCTATACTATACCCGTATACGTTTCATAGACCGTCCATAGGATCACATATATAATACACGTATGTGTTTCATAGACCGTCCATTGGATTACCTATACAATATACCTATGCATTTCATAGACCATCCATAGGGTTCATAACACATTATTATGCATATGACCATATATAAGCTCAAAGCGACATGCTTAACATTACATTTAAGGTAAAAAGTTCTCGGATCATTGGAATACTTCATGTTCATGATCATCATGGAGAAACACAGCTCATTACATTAGCACATGTATGGTAGATAAATGAGTAGATTTCAATCGCACATGGGCCAAATTCATTTTTCATAAGGTTCATGATCATTTAGCATAGGACATCTCTATTTCATCTCGTTATGTACTCGATTATCATCTTACGGTCATTAGCTAAGTTCATGATTCTTGGGGACTTAACATTAAAGTCATTTGCATTTATTATCTTAGAAGCATACATACTATGAATGAAACTATGGGAACATACAATGACTCATAATTCTTATTTTGGCAAGCAGCCACATTTCATATTCATACTATCACTTACTTTTTACTTGCCATAGGTGACCATTGAAAATTAAGAGCATTTAAAATATTTAGGAACACCATGGCCTTTACTCATGAGAACGTAAGAGCTTATTTCAAAATCTTTCACACATCATTTCATCTCATTGGCACCATTGGCCATAATTATAACTTTCATTATTGGCACGGTGATCACACTTTATAGCCCAAACTCACTTCTTTCACTTCAAGCATCTTTATAGATTATCAATAATAAGAGCATTTGAAATCAAGGCCTTAAGCATATATATGAGCAATCAGAGTTTTAGGCGCATCAAGTATTCTTTCCAAGTAAAGCATAATGGACTTTCATTTGAAACATGAATTGAAGTTATATCGTTTTAACACATAAACCTTACTTGAACACATTCCCGAAGGAGATCATGATAAGATAGGAGTAAGTAGAACACGTTTTGAGTACATACATATTTTGACACTTTGCTTACTCGGGAAAATCGAATTTATTAGGAACAACACGGAACATGGGAATTAGGAACATGGGCCAACTACACTTGAAACTTACGGGAATATCATGAGATTCAGTTCTAAGAGAGAAGTTTAGCCAACATACCTGAAATTCATCCCTTAATACTACTACGATGGTCCACCACAATAAATAACTTCAATCTACAACAACGTAACACAATTGCACCAATATTAGCAAGATTTATATTTGAAGTCATTTAGACTTTATCAAGCATCTAATCTGCATATTTTTCTACAACCTCTAGTAATGGTGTTTCTTCATCCAACAATCCCTCATTCCCACCAACAAGAGATACTACAATATCCTTCGTCTACTAACTACCTTCTTAGCACCATTATAATCATCAATGAACTCACATCCACCAAATTTTACTAATTAACTCATTACAAAATATCTACAACACCCAATTATCTAGGTTAAGCACTTATGGGTTCCCATTACCATCCTAGTACGTGTTTTTTGCTCATATGTTCACTAACAATCCATGCATGTAGGTTTAATGGTGAAAGATTATCTCTTGTAGATCAAATCTTGAAAGACAACTTTTGGGGTGTTCTTGAGATTTGAAGAAATTCTATGGAATCCAATCAAAACCTTGTAGACCACAAAAAATCAATATATGGCTACAAAATAGGTTGTTGGCGAATGACTTATTTCTTGCAGTGTCATTGCCATTATGCTGGAAGCTTTTCTTGTGCTAATATATCGCTAAGGACATAGCCAACAAGTGACGAGCAGACCTAGATGCTAAGGGTTTGTTTGGTTTAGATACAAGTTATGCATAAGTTCATAATGTATGTGTTAGTAATTCAAAGAGTGTTATATAGGAATTAAATTTTGCAAGAGTTTGTAATGCAAGGATTATTACATAGGAATTAAGTTATGTAAGGATTGTAATATAGGGATTATTTTCTTGTTGGCTGTTTAGTTTGATATATTACAAGTTAATATATTGTATTAAATTAATAATATTTGTTTATTTCTTAGGAAAATAAAAGCTTGTTTACCATTATATGAGGGTTAGTTTTGTTATTTTCATATTTAAATTCATCTATTATTCAATACCACATTTCCACATTCAACCCCGCTTAAAATAATATAAAGATTTCGTTATTGACTTATACATATTATGTTCGAAGAATAGGAAAAACACTAACCAAACATGGTATATGTTATGCTAAATTTGTACGAAAATAAATACTCCTTGAAATATCACAACACTATAATGGTGGGATTGTTACCTAGATATACTATAATAGAAACTGTAGAAGGAATAGATGTGGGGTCTAGTAGTTAATTTAATATATTGTAATTAGGTGAAGTTAGTTGATAAAAAGGGTAGGCTAATTACTTAGTTGTAAAAATAGAAGTTAGTTATACTTGTACAGTAGCTTTTGAGAATCAGTTAGAACATTTCATTTCTAATACAGAGAATGGAGCTTCTCCTTCTTCTTCATCGACTTCCTTCCTCTTCTGCTATGGTTGACTAGTTTAACATGGTATTAGAGCTTCAAGGCTAAATCAACTAACTTAGCAATTTCAGGAGAGGAATATCACTGGTTAACTGCTTCCTACACTCTGTTCCTTTACCATTTTTTTAGCAAATTCCCGAAAATTACGGCTTATTCGATTAGCCTCAATTTCTGCTAAAATTGAGTGATTTGTGACCTAAATCATCTCAATTAGTAAGGCGCGATAATATCTATACTGTCTACAATGGAAATTTATGACGGGATCTCGACTTTAACTCCTCCTATGGCGACTGCAACTCAGGCTCGAAAATTCTCCAAATCTGGTACATCACAATCACCCTCTGTAGATTCATCCTTCAGATACACAAGGTTCTGTTCTTATCTCAGTTCAACTTCAAGGTTCTGAAAATTACTCAATTTGGAGTCAGTCATTGAAGATTGTGTTGCATGGTAAAAATAAACTAGGTTTTGTTTTTGGAACTTGTAGAAGAGAAATGTATGATCCTAGCTTGCATGAACTCTGGGACAGATGTAATGCCATTGTTCTAGCTTGGATAATGAACACAATATCTCCTAGTCTAATTAGTACTGTGATTTATGCATCTGATGCTCATAAGGTGTGGGAATACCTTAATGAGAGGTTTGATAAAGTAAATGCCTCTAGAGCCTGTTATCTACACAAGGAAATTGCTGCACCAACTCAGGGCATAGCATCTGTGTTTGTGTACTTTTCGAAGCTTAGGGAACTATGGGATGAGTATGAGACAGTAGCTCCTCCTCCTTCATGTGGATGTCCATAGTTTGTCAAACATGTAGAACATTATCAGTTGCAAAAGCTATATATGTTTTTAACAGGTCTGAAGGATTCCTATGAGAATGCAAAGGATCAAATTCTTATGACAAGGCCTTTACCAAACAGAAACCAAGCATATGCTATGATAGTGAATGTAGAAAGTCAAAGGAGAAATGGTAGTTGTGGAATTAATGCTAGCATTGGTGTTGATGGTAATGATGTTATTGCACTACTAAGCAACAGAGGAAACAACAATGGTAACAACTCTGGTGGTGATAACATTAATTACAAAGCTAGGACCAATTACAGCTATGGATGGTCTGCACTTCAGTGTGACTACTACAAGCTTAAAGGTCACACAAGGTACAACTGCTACAAGCTGCATGGATATCCAGCTGATTTCAAATATAGGAAGAAGGGAGGCACTCCAAATAATTATGCTAACAATGTGTGTGGTGTAGGAAATTAGGGATTTGAAGCTCAAGGATCATCTCAGCAAACAATACCTATCACTAATACAACACCACCAGCTCCAGTTCAGTTCTTCACTTCAGAACAATACAATCAAATTCTGCAAATGCTGAACAAAGGAAAAAAGAGAGAACCTGTGGCTAATGCAACTCAAATGGGAACAACAGGTATTCCTACTGCCCTAATATCTAATCTAGGAGACCATAACTGGATAGTAGACACAGGGGCTACAAATCATTTGGTACATCAGTTAGGTTTGCTTAACAAATTCAAAGAACTGTCACAAGTAAGTAAGAATAAGGTACACCTACCTATTGGAGAGCAAGTTACTATCGCTAAGACATGAGAATCTCATATATTTCAGGACAAAAAAATTAGAGAAGTATTATATATACCTGAATTCAAATACAACCTATAATCAGTATCAAAGATAACCAAGGAGTTACAATGTTGTGCAACATTCTTTCCTGGTTTCTGTGTATTTCAGGAACTCTCAAGTGGGAAGGTGATAGGGATTGGTAGAGAAGAGGATGGCCTGTACATTCTGAGGAACAGAGAAAAGTCAAATTCACAGCAAGTCTTTGAGAATAAGGATGTCATCAATCAGTCATCTGTAAATACCATTTCCAGTTCAATAAGTGAAGATAGTTCCAAAAATGAACTAAGACTATCGATTTGTCTCTATGGCATAGAAGACTAAGACATGCTCCTTTAGAGTGTTGAGAAATATTGAAAGCTTGTGTAACTCTCAGCTGAATAATCACATATGCTCTGTATGTTTGCTAAACAGGCAAGACTACCCTTTCTTCTAAGTACTACTTGTTCAGCTAAGCCTTTTGATCTTATGCATGCTGATGTATGGGGTCCTTATAAGGTTCACACTCATGATGGTAAGAGATACCTTTTGACACTAGTATATGATTTCTCTAGATATACATGTCTCTTCCTGATGCCTACTAAAGCAGAATCTATTGTAGTGCTAAGGAACTTCCTAATATATGCCAGAACTCAATTTGGCTATGGAGTGAAATGTCTTAGAACAGATAATGGTTCAGAATTCTTCAATGATCAAGTGAAAAATTTGCTTAAGGAGTGTGGGACAGTAGACCAAAGTTCTTGTGTGTATACACCACAACAAAATGGTGTTGTAAAAAGGATACATAGATATATCCTAGACATAGCAAGAGCTTTAAGGTTTCATGCATTTGTACCCTTAAGGTTTTGAGGAGAGTGTGTATCCACAGCTATATACTTACTCAATAGATTGCCTACTATGTTATTGAAACGGCAGTCACCTTTCCAGAAATTGTTCCACAGAGCTCCTTCACTACAGCATCTCAGAGTATTTGGTAGTATGTGCTATTCTACCACTGTCAAGAGGGGTGATAAGTTTAGTCCAAAAGCAATTCCAGCAGTTCATCTTGGATATTCCACAACTCAGAAAGGATATTATCTCTATGACCTAACCTCCAAGGAGTTCATTATAAGCAAAGACACTGTCTTTCAAGAAGAAAGCTTTCCCCTTCAAGCACATGAACACTGGCCTTTCTCCTATGTTCCCTCTGGTGCAACTAGCTGAACCTAATCCTCTCGATCCTCCTGGTGTGTCTACTCCATTGCATTCACCTCCAACCTCCACTTCTGATGATGCTTCCCAGCTTTTCCATCATCTTCTGTCAGGGATCCCTCTCCCAGCCAGTACAACTTAGAAAATCCTCAAGGGAATCAAGACTACTTGTATGGATGGGAGATTATATTGTCCAACAGAAGTCCTCATGTCCATATCCACTGCCCAACTATGTGATGTATGACCACCTCACTCCTGCCTACAGGTCTTCGTTAGCTTCTTATTCAGCAATTGTAGAACCCAAGACCTATGCTGAAGCCAGTATTTAATCCATTATGGGTGGATGCTATGAAGTTTGAGATTTCAGCTCTTGAGAGCAATAATATTTGGCAATTGTAGACCTTCCTCCAGACAAAGTTCCCATAGGCTACAAGTGGGTGTTCAAGGTCAATTACAAGTCCACATGAGAAGTGGAGAGATATAAAGCAAGGCTGGTTGCCAAAGGCTACAGCCAACAAGAAGGTTTGGACTACACTGAAACATTATCCCCTATAGCTAAGATGGTCACAGTAAGGTCTATAGGGGCTCTTGCTGCTGCTTCACGTTGGTTTGTGTTTCAAATGGATGTTCATAATAAATTTCTGCAGGGTGATCTGAGTAAGATGTTTATATGCAAATTCCTAATGGCTTTTCAAGCCAGGGGGAGTATCAGAAGGTGTGCATGTTAAATAAGTCCTTGTATGGACTTAAAATCGAGCTCCTAGACAGTGGAACTTAAAGTTGAAAGAAGCATTGACAGACCTAGGATTTGTACAGTCACACTATGATTATTCTTTGTTCACACAAGGAAAGGAGCAGATTTCGTGATTGTGCTTGTCTATGTTGATGACTTGCTAGTAACTGGCAGTAATCTAAACTTGATTGTGAAGCCAGGAAAGAACCTGCAGAGCAGGTTTAAGATGAAAGACTTAAGGGAATTGAAGTACTTCCTTGCCATAGAGTTTTCAAGTACAGAGAAAGGCATCCATATGTGTTAGAGGAAGTATGAACTTGAGCTTCTATCTGAGACTGATCTATCGGGAGGAAAACCAGCACTCACTCCACTGGAATTTAATCACAAGCTTACCTCCATAGAATTTGATAAGGTGATAAACAAGTAGAACTTGTCTGATGACAGGTTACTTGAAGATAGAAGTGGTTGTCAAAGAATAGTGAGAAGACTATTGTACTTGACCATGACTAGACCTGGCATAGCCTTTGTCGTACAGGTTCTGAGTCAGTTGATACATGCTCCCAAACAATCACATATAGATGCTGCAATGAGAATTATCAGGTACATTAAAGGTAATCCTGGTCTTGGGCTATTTCTACCATCAATTGGCAATCAAAAGCTGGTTGCCTTTTGTGATTTATATTGGGGTGCTTGTGTAGAGACAAGAAAGTCAATCACAAGTTATGCTATGAAGTTTGGTGATGCCTTAATCTCCTGAAAATCAAAGAAGCAAGGAACAGTTTCAAGAAGCTTAGTTGAAACAGAGTTCAGAAGCATGGCCACTACTGTTGCAGAGACAAAGTGGTTGGTTGGATTATTTGAAGAGTTGGGAGTATCAGTTGAGTTTGCAGTTCAACTTCACTGTGATAGCAAAGCTGCAATTCAAATTGCAGCTCATCCTATTTTTCACGAATGAACCAAACACAGACTGTCAATTTGTAAAGGAAAAGATTCAAGAAGGAATAGTCCAAACTCAGCATATTGTTACAAGAGAGCAACTGGCAGATATCTTCGCCAAGAGTCTATGCAGTCCACAACATGATTACTTACTTTGCAAGCTGGGATTGAAGAGTCTGTTTTCATCCTCCAGCTTGAGGGGGAGTGTAAAAGGAATAGATGTGGGGTCTAGTAGTTAATTTAATATATTGTAATTAGGTGAAGTTAGTTGATAAAACGGTACGTTAATTAGTTAGTTGTACAAATAGAAGTTAGTTACTCTTGTGCAGTAGCTTTTGAGAATCAGTTAGAACATTTCATTTCTAATACATAGAATGGAGCTTCTCCTCCTTCTTCATCGACTTCTTTCCTCTTCTGCCATGGCTGACTAGTTCAACAGAAACCTATTTACTACCTTTATTTAAGTTCCTTATTAATTACTTTGTATATCTATATTTACTAGTGTCATGACCCAAATCCTAAGCCGTCGTGATGGCGCCTAACGTGGTACTAGGCAAGCCAACATTTACGAATATACTCCAACACTTTTAACAGAAAATGGATTTAAAGCAGTTTAAATAGTTAAACTTCTCATAAGCAGGATAGAAAATCCAAAACAAAACACGAAAAACTCCCAATATCGGGGTGTCACTAAGTACATGAGCATCTTAATACCACAAGTCTGGGAAAATACTATCTATCAAAATCCAAAACTAAATACAATAAGTGGAAGGACAAGGAAGGAGAAACAAGGTCTGCAAAGCGCCGAGTAGCAACCATGGAATATCCTAGAAGATCAACTGTGCGATGAAATCAACGCCCACGGTGTCCGGAAATACCTGGATCTGCACGTGAAGTGCAAGGTATAGCGTGAGTACAACCAACTCAGTAAGTAACAAGACTAAATAAAGAACATAAGTGACGAGCTTTGTACTTATAGTTCAATTTTGGTAATTTCAACATAGGAAAGTAGGCATGCTTTCAAGTTCGACAATTTTAGGTCAAATCTGTTACCTCGTGTCAAGTTCAAGTAAAATAGAATATAATATATTTCAGAAACTTCAAGAAAATGATATATAGCAATTAAGTGCAACAATAATAAAATCAAAAGCATCCTCTCAGTGCAACAACCACTCAGTCTTTCTCAATAGCTCAACACTCGGCACTCGCACTCAGTAGGTATTTGCGCTCACTGGGGGTGGGTACAAACTCCAAAGGGGCTCCTTCAGCCCAAACACAATAATCCACATGGACAACTTACGTGCTATAATATTAATATCTGGATCCGCATGGACAACTCACGTGCTATAGTATTAATATCCTCAAAATCAGGCCCTCGACCCCACTCAGTCATCAACCTCAACAGTCTCTCGGGCTCTCAGTAATAATGAAAATCAGCCCGAAATAGATATGATATAATGTATCAACAAGGAACAATAGAGACTGAGATATGATATGCAAGTAAAACTATGACTGAGTAAAAGTAGCAATTAGCAGATAATTCAATAGGTAACATGGCCTCTGTGGGTCTCTACAGTACCGACACATAGCCTAAACATGATTTCTAACATGATTTGCAGTCAAATTTCTATAACACAAGGAGAGCATATAGCTAACAACATGTTATTCAACTTCAAAGTTCCATGGAATAGGCCAAGTCACAATTCCTACGGTGCACGCCCACACGCCCGTCACCTAGCATGTGCGTCACCTCCAAACCAATCACAAGACACATAATACGGGGTTTCATACCCTCAGAACCATATTTAGAGATGTTATGTACCTCAATTCGAGCAAATCTCTACTCCGACCCACAATTGCCTCGCAAATCGGCCTCCAAATATCCTGAATCTAGCCAAAAACAGTAATATACAATCAACACGGGATGAAGGAATCAATTCCACAAGAAAATACGAAGCTATAAATCGAAAGTCAAAAATCGACTCAAAGCCGATCCTTGGGCCTACGTCTCGAAATCCATCAAAAGTCGCAAAACCCGAAAGCCCATTAAACCACGAGCCCAACATACTAAATTTATCAAAATCCTACCCCAAATCGTCACCCAAAATCCCAAATCAAACTCTCCAAATCCCTAGCCTCAAACCCCCAATTTAAACCTTAAATACACACTGACTAGGTGGAAAAATAAATGGGGAAAGAGATTATTGATCAAAAACGAACACAAGGGACTTACCTCAAGAATCCCCTCGAAAATTCTCTAAAAAATCGCCAAACCCGAGCTCAAAATATTTGAAATGAAGCCAAAATCGCGAACCCTTGTGTTTAACCTTCTATCCAGCACTTCGGCTTCTGCGGACACTTAACCGCATCTGTGGTGTCGTAGAAGCGACCAAAATCCCGCTTGTGCAGTGCACCACTGGAGCTGGGCCTCCGCTTATGTGGTCCTCTCCCCCACATCTCGCAACCGCAGGTGCGGACCATCGCACATGCACAAACGTCCGCTTTTACGCCAATCGCTCCGCACCTACGACCACACAGGTGCAGAAGAATATTCGCTCCTGCGACCACAGTCCTTCCCAAGTCTGGCCACATTTGCACTCCTTAGCTCGCACCTACGATCAAAGCTCTGCATGTGCGATTACACCAGCAGAGTCCACCTTCAGCAATCACCCAGCTTCAAATTTTGATCCGTTGACCATATGGAATCACCCCGAGGCCCCCGGGACCTCAACCAAACATACCAACAATTCTTAAAACACGGTACAAACTTAGTCGAGCCCTTGAATCACCTCAAACAACATTAAAAACACGAATCACACATAGATTCAAACCTAATGAACTTTAAACTTCCAATATCTACAAACGATACCAAAACCTATCAAATCACATCCGATTGACCCCAAATTTTTCATACAAGTCACAAATGACATCACAGACCAACTCCAACTCCCAGAATCCCTATCTGACCCCCAATCAAAAAGTCCACTCCCGGTCAAACTTTCCAAATTTCCAACTTTTGCTATATCAAGCCTAATTCAAGTACGGATTTCCAAATCACAATCCGGACATGCATCCAAGTCCAAAATCACCCAACGAAGATAACGAAACCATCAAAACTCCAATTCCAGATCCGTTTACACATAAGTCAACATTCGGTCAACCTTTTTAACTAAAGCTTCCAATCTTGAGATAAAGTGTCTCAACTTATTCTGAAATCCCTACAGACCCGAGCCGACTAACCCGACAAGTCACATAACAGATATAAAGCAAAAAATGAGCAGTAAACGGGGGAACGAGGCTACAACTCTCAAAACGACCGGTCGGGTCGTTACATCCTCCCCCTCTTAAACAAACGTTCATCCTTGAATGGGTCTAGAAACACACTTGGAGCCTCAAATAGGTATGGATATCTGCTCTGCATCTCCCGCTCGGTCTCCCAAGTAGCCTCCTGAACTGGCTGACCTCTCCACTGCACCTTCACTGAAGCTATATCCTTTGACCTCAACTTCCTAACCTGCCGACCCAAAATGGCCACCGGCTCCACATCATAAGTCAAATCACCATCCAACTGAACCGTGCTGAAATCCAAAACATGAGACGGGTCGCCAACATACTTCCTGAGCATAGAAACATGAAATACTGGATGTACACTCGATAAGCTAGGTGGCAAGGCAAGCTTGTAAGCCACCTCTTCAATCCTCTGAAGTACCTCAAATGGCCTAATAAACTTAGAGCTCAACTTGCCCTTCTTTCCGAACCTCATAACACCCTTCATGGGTGAAACCTTCAGTAGAACCTTCTCCCCAATCATGTAAGCAACATCACGGACATTCCTGTTGGCATAGCTCTTCTGTCTAGACTGTGCCGTGAGAAGCCAATCCTTAATCAATTTAACCTTGTCCAAAGCATCTTGAACCAAATCAGTACCCAATAGCCTAGCCTTACCCGGCTCAAACTAACCCACCAGATATCTATACCGTCTCCTATACAAAGCCTCATACAGAGCCACTGAATGCTCGACTGGTAGCTGTTGTTGTAGACAAACTCCGCGAGTGGCAGAAACTGATCCCAAGAACCCCCGAAATCAATGACACTAGAGCGCAACATGTGCTCTAGTACCCGAATAGAGCGCTCGGACTGTCCGCACGTGTGATGGTCAAATGATATACTCAACTCAACCTGGGTGCCCAACTCTTGTTGTACTGCTCTCCAGAACTGTTATGTAAACTGCGTGCACCGATCTAAAATAATTGACACTGGCACACCGTGGAGGCGAACAATCTCTCGGATGTAAATCTCAGGAAACTGCTCCAAAGAATAAGTAGTCCCAACTAGAATGGAGTGCACGGACTTGGTCAGCTAATCCACAATCACCCAAATAGCATCGAACATCCTCGAAGTCCTTGGGAGACCAACTACAAAATCCATGGTGATCCGCTCCCACTTCCACTCTGGAATCTCTATCCTTTGAAGCAATCCACCTGGTCTCTGATACTCATACTTCCCCTGCTGATAGTTAAGGCACCAAGCTACAAACCCCACTATATCCTTCTTCATTCTCCTCCACCAATAGTGCTGCCCTAAGTCCTGGTACATCTCTACGACACCCGGATGAATGGAATACCGCGAACTGTGGGCCTCGTGAAGAATCAACTCACGTAACCCATCTACCTTGGGCACACATATCCGGCCCTGTATCCTCAACACCCTAGCATCCCCAATAGTAACATCTCTGGCATCACCGTGCTAAACCTTGTCCTTGAGGACAAGAAAATGAGGATCATCATACTGGCGCTCTCTGATGCGATCAAATAAGGAAGACCGAGAAACCACATAAGCTAGAACCCGACTAGGCTCCGAAATATCTAATATCACAAACTGGTTGGCCAAAGCGTGAACATCAACTACAAGAGGTCTCTTGCCAACAGGAATGAATGTAAGTCTACCTATACTCACCGCCTTCCTACTCAAGGCATCGGCCTTCACGTTGTCCTTCCTGGGGTGATACCGAATAGTGAT